CAACTACCGGTGCCTTTGGAAAAAGCCAAATGAAACACCATTAAGCCATTTTGGTTTCCTTTAATTACAGACACACATTTACTGGTAAATAAGCCTTGTTCAATATTTCCGGCCACATAACTTGCTTAATGATTTTAATAAAGCTCTAGAGACTTTCCTCTCTTTTCACACCAGACCATTAAGACTGGGGAATTTTTGTGTGAAACCTGTGTGTGTGACCAATAGACAGAGGAAAAGAGCTCCCGGATGTACTATTGTACTGTAATTCACATGTAGAGCTTACATTATGACACTTCAATAAAAAAGTATCAGTATTATTTTTATTCACTCACCACACCCTGTCCTTCCTGTTTAATTTACCTGACACGGCTTCAAACAGAACATTTTGTTTCTCTTGGACTGTAAATCATAAATATTTGATTTTGTGACGGTCTTCTGTTCCTGCCGGCTTTTTATGTATACAACTTCAATTGTCTTGGATCCAAATGTCAAGTATTGGAAACATGCACTTGTCTGTTGTTTGTGTGATGTGAAATAAACACAGCAGAAAGCAGTGTGTCTGTTTGAGGAAAGTAAGAGTGCTGGAAAGTCTAAGGTAGGAGATCATACAAACAAAGGTGCATGGCAATTACAGACAGGGTAAAATGCCAGTGCAACTGCAAGTAAAAAGGAGTCTTGATAAAGAGGTAGACAAAAAGAGATTGTGTGGAACTAACAACTTGCAGCTGTTTTTGCTCACAATAAGAACAGAAAGTTACTCTCTCACACACACACAAGTGTACATGTGCACATACACGCACACATGGAAGCAAGCTTAATTCCAGTTTCCTACTTAACTACAGTAAGTGCTGTGGTCATTCCTTGAAGAAAAGCCATCTGGAAAAGGAGGCCACAAAACAGTTAACATCTCTTGCATGTCAAATAACAACAGAACACTGTGGTGATATTTGCAGACAGACCCGATTTTAATTGCATTTTGTGGCACAAATAAATTCTAGAATAAACAATATAACACAATAAAATAGGCTACATAATATAACACTCACAAGTTGTTTGATAGGATAAGAAAACGGAACTGAAGTCAGAGGGCCTTAATCATACCGTATTCAGACCTGGGAAACCAAATGCGTGAACTTGCTGGCCAATCAGTCATAATTGATCGAATAACTACAATGTACAAAAGAAAACAGCAATAATTCGGCCCTTGTTACATGAGCTGATTAATCTAGATATGTGTGAGGGCATCCACAAGATTGTGTGTGTGTTGAAACCTTGGGGGGGAAACTACCTAGGGGGGTAAGGGTTAAAAACCTCTTGAAGCACCTCCTTGCAATGGAAACTCACCACAGAAGGATATTGGTTTGCCAACTTTCCATTCCTCACAAATGTTCCTCTAATGTAGTGCACAGGAGCTAATCTGTGAGTGTCTGTGTGTGTATGCCCTGTTATTGACAGACCTGGTTTAATGACATCCGAGATGAAGCACTCACACAGATACTGAGGTTTCCAGCTGCTCCTCTCCCCTTGAGGAAAGAGAGAGTGTAAGGGAGAGAGAGAAAGACAGACTGCCAAGCTTGACATGAAGAGAGTGCCATCTAGAGCCCTCCCTGAGACATCCCTGAGCCTTTCATTGACACAAATGCATCTCTCTCTTAAACCTCTTTCAAACAGAGAAAAGCATAATATCTTAGGCATTGTATGACCTCCATTCACACAGCCTGGTATTGAAGAACAATGGTACAGAGGACAGGACAATGGACACAAATGAGCTGTCTAGCCAACTCTAGCACTGTTTTACTCCTCAGTACAATCTATAGCGTGTTCCTCCGTCAGATAACTGGCATAAATAAAACAAAATACAAATGTTGTTTAACTGCAGTGTAAGCCAGGAGGGTAGAGGTCCAGGGAGACGGCCTGATCCTCAGCCTCTCATGTGGGGCTTGTGGCAGGCAGCTTAGTGGCTCCCCTCCAGCTCCACTGATGAATGGCGGAAATGAGAGGCATTACTACATTAGGGCTGTCCCTCTGAGCTGGCTTCAGAGTCTACCTTGGCTCAGTTCCATCGCCATTTGAGTATTTTGCCTGACACGTTTTGTTGGACTGGATAGGTGTAAACAATATGAAAACGATTGGAGTTCCACCTTGCCCTCCAATAGCCTAAGTCGAACTTCCACTGTACTGCTTTTCAAGTCTGTGATTGCTACGGTGGTACAGAGCAGGCTGAGAGAAAGGATTAGACTTCAGAGAAAGGGGCTATGAACAGAAATGGAACAAATCCCAACTCAACTTTGGGGACTGACCGTGGAATATACCTCCAATACAGGAGTAAAGAGAGGTTCTGAGTGTGGGTGTCTGAGTGTGTGAGAGCCCTTCTCTCCCCTCCTTGGCCAGACCAGCTGGACCAAGAATCCCTGGTTTCTACAGTGCTGCTGTTCTCCAGTACCACTGGCTCGGCCAAGAGTTCCCAGGCCCTGCTTTTTCCCCCCACTGTGTGGTTTACAACCCCAACAAGATGTGGTTCACTGTCACAGCATCCAGGAACAAACTGTATGCCAAAGCTCCAGTCACATCCAGGGATTGTTGGTGAACTGGACATAAAGCATCATGGGAATCTTTGCAGACGTCTTCCCCAAAGCTCAAAGGAGCCTTCTATTATATCCAAGGCCTATTTTTAGCGATGGATGTCATCTTGATATTTGCCTAGAGTTCTGTGGCTAAAGCTGTGGGCAGCTGCTCCAGTCTCTATTTCCTCAGTTCAATGTCAATCAACATTATGCTATATTTATATAACATGACTCAGCACTTAGCTTGTACTTCCTGTTGTAATGTCTTCTACTCAGATTGGAAGGGTCGATACTGAAAGGCTTTTGGGCAAAAATGGTTCTAGCTCAGTGGATTAGCCAACAGTTAGATTGGTGAATTTGCCAAAGGTCAAATCAAATCAAATTTGAATTGTCACATGCTTTGTAAACAACAGGTGTAGACTAACAGTTAAATGCTTACTTACAACACCCTTCCAAACAATGCAGAATACAATAAAAATAATAATAACATAAAAAATAGTAACCTGAGGAATAAATACACAATGAGCAATGATAGCCTGGCTATATAGTACATGCCTGTCTGAAGTTTGCCAATGAACATCTGAATGATTCAGAGGAGAACTGGGTGAAAGTGTTGTGGTCAGATGAGACCAAAATGGAGCTCTTTAGCATCAACTAAACTCGCCGTGTTTGGAGGAGGAGGAATGCTGCCTATGACCCCAAGAACACCATCCCCACGTCAAAGATGGAGGTGGAAACATTATGCTTTGGGGGTGTTTTTCTGCTAAGGGGACAGGACAACTTCACCGCATCAAAGGGACGATGGACGGGGCCATGTACCGTCAAATCTTGGGTGAGAACCTCCTTCCCTCAGCCAGGGCATTGAAAATGGGTCATGGATGGGTATTCCAGCATAACTGTTTGGGCTACAAACGAATGTTCTCACAAACAAGATGGTGTTCCCCGTTTTGCTCTACGACCCCCATAAGTGTCATGGGACACGTCTTAAGGTAACCGGTACCGTTTAAAAAAAAATTAATGGAAGTATGGAGGTAGTGTTGTGCTTACCCAAAAAAGGGGGTTAAATGTTTTTTTTAAAGATATATATATCCTGAGCTTTCTTATATCACCTAGATATAGGACAGACACTTCAAAACCTTATTCCTTCTGATTAATTTTTTTATTGTATTTCTGCCATTTATGAATGTGTTATTCAATGCGTTTCTATAAGCTATAGTAGTAAAGGCCAAATTCAATATTTTAACAAATAATGTTTTAATATATATATATTTTTATACCTAAATCTAAATCAAATAGCTAAATTATCCATAGTATGACCATCTTAAAACAATTCCATATGTCAGCTTAGAACCAACCCCCCCCCCTCCAACGGCTTAAATTTACAGGGGTTAAAAGATGCATTGTGAACTGATTTTGATCAGATCTTATAAGTGTGAATGGACAAGATCAGGACACAAGACCCATGTTAGCGCCAGGTATAAACGGGACTGCCTGTCATTAAAGATGTGCTTTTCCAAAGAAAATGAAATTGGAAACAGGTGTGGGAAAGATAAATAATTGCTCTCTTGTTCTGCAAAAAGACAGAAGACGGGAAGAAGGGGGAAACAGATGTTGCTTTAGTGGCAGATCGCTTTACAGGTGGTACAGTAAGCCCTATTATAGAGAAAATGTGGGAGGTATGCAATTAAGGCAAGAAGCAACTCATTCAGAGTGTAGGCCTTGTCACAGCAAACAAGCAGTAAACAACTTTTCTGATGCACTGTACATTGAGTGTACAAAACATTAGGAACACCTTCCTAATATTGAGTTGCACCCCCTTTTGCCCTCAGAGTAGCCTCAATTCATCGGGGCATGGACTCTACAAGGTGTCGAAAGCGTTCCACAGGGATGCTGGCCCATGTTGATTCCAATGCTTCCCACGGTTGTGTCAAGTTGGCTGGATGTCCTTTGGGTGGTGGACCTGTTGAGCGTGTAAAACCTAGAAGCGTTGCAGTTCTTGACACAAACCGGTGCGTTCTTGACACAAAAACTTTTGGCACCAACTACCATACCCCGTTCAAAGGCACTTCAATCTTTTGTCTTGCCCACTCACAATCCCATGTCTCAATTGTCTCAAATATCCTTCTTTAAACGGTCTCCTCCCCTTCGTCTACACGGATTTAAGTGGATTTAAAAAGTGACATCAATAAAGGGTCATAGCTTTCACCTGGATTCACCTGGTCAGTCTATGTCATTAGGTGTTCCTAATGTTTTGTACACTCAGTGTATTTGTATAGAAATAAATTATTGATCTATTGTGAATTATTATTTGGCTATATGGATTCATAAACTTTTTTTGAGGCCTTTTTTGTCAACAATGTGGCCTCATTAATAAGCAAAACTCCCCTTTCCCATTTGTTTCAATTATGCCCAGCTCACAAGGTCCCTTGATGATGTGAGGCCTGAGGCAATTGCCTCTTCTGCCTTATGGTAAGTCCGCCACTGCTCATAATTGCATAACGATCATCAAAGACAAGGCCTGCCAGAGTCAGTTCTGGTGAAGCAGGAAGTTCTGAATGGGGTCCGGGAGCGGTAGAGAAGGGATGTATTTTAGCCGATGCTTCCCCATCACTTTCCTAATACTGATCCGACATTGGTAGGTCAGCCTACGAGGACATCCTGGGAAAAAATAAGGAATTTATTATCAACAGGATAAATATACATTTCAACGGTCTAACATCACATTTTCCATTAAACTTGAATGATACACATTAACAATAATCTGATGGCATTCATGAGAAAATATCGTATTAATCTACAAAACTCTTCCAATGGTGCATGGGAGTAGCCTACATGTATACTACCGGTCAAATGTTTTAGAACACCTAGTCATTCCAGGGTTTTTCTTTATTTTTACTATCTTCTACATTGTAGAATAATAGTGAAGACATCAAAACTATGAAATAACACATATGGAATCATGTAGTAACCCAAAAAGTGTTAAACAAATCACAATATATTTTATATTTGAGATTCTTCAAATAGCCACCTTTTGCATTGATGACAGCTTTGCACACTCTTGGCATTCTCTCAACCAGCTTCATGAGGTAGTCACCTGGAATGCATTTCAATTAACAGGTGTGTCTTAAGTTAATTTGTGGAATTTCTTTCCTTCTTAATGTGTTTGAGCCAATCAGTTGTGTTGTGACAAGGTAGGGGGGGTATACAGAAGATAGCCCTATTTGGTAAAAGACCAAGTCAATATTATGGCAAGAACAGCTCAAATAAGCAAAGAGAAACGACAGTCCATCATTACTTTAAGACATGAAGGTCAGTCAGTACAGAACATTTCAAGAACTTTGAAAGTTTCTTCAAGTGCAGTCGCAAAAACCATCAAGAGCTATGATGAACCGCCACAGGAATGGAAGACCCAGAGTTACCTCTGCTGCAGAGGATAAGTTCATTAGAGTTACCAGCCTCAGAAATTGCAGCCCAAATAAATGCTTCATAGAGTTCAAGTCACAGACACATCTCAACATCAACTGTTCAGAAGGGACTGTGTGAATCAGGCCTTCATGGTTGAATTGCTGCAAAGAAACCACTACTAAAGGACACCAATAAGAAGAAGAGACCTGTTTGGGCCAAGAAACACGAGCAATGGACATTAGACCGGTGGAAATTTGTCCTTTGGTCTGGAGTCCAAATGTGAGATTTTTTGTTCCAACCGCCGTGTCTTTGTGAGACGTGGTGTGGGTGAAAGGATTATCTCCGCATGTGTAGTTCCCACCGTAAAGCATGGCGGAGGTGGTGTTATGGTGTGGGGGTGCTTTGCTGGTGACACTGTCTGTGATTTATTAAGAATTGAAGACACACTTAACCAGCATGGCTACCACAGCATTCTGCAGCGATACACCATCCCATCTGGTTTGGGATTAGTGGGACTATCATTTATTTTTCAACAGGACAATGACCCAACCCACCTGCAGGCTGTGTAAGGGCTATTTACCAAGAAGGAGAGTGATGGAGTGCTGCATCAGATGGCCTGGCCTCCACAATCCCCTGACCTCAACCCAATTGAGATGGTTTGCGATGAGTCGGACCGCAGAGTAAAGGAAAAGCAGTCAGCATATGTGGGAACTCCTTCAAGACTGTTGGAAAAGCATTCCAGTTGAAGCTGGTTGAGAGAATGCCAAGAGTGTACAAAGCTGTCATCAAGGCAAAGGGTGGCTATTTGAAGAATCTCAAATATAAAATATATTTTGATTTGTTTAACACTTTTTTGGTTACTACATGATTCCATATGTGCTATTTCATAGTTTTGATGACTTCACTATTATTCTACAATGTAGGAAATAGTAAAAATAAAGAAAAACCCTGGAATGAGTAGGTGTGTCCAAACTTTTGACTGGTACTGTATGTCATACATGTTCAAATGCAAAGACAACAGCACACTGTATTTGTCTCATTGTGTTTATTAGTAATCAGTGCGATCATCATTTGGCAGCCCCTCACCCATGACAGCGTTAATAGAGCTCAACCTTTTTAAACGACTGATCTCCTTCTTAATTGATCTGAAGGATAGCACAGCTCTAGCTTTGTCTACACCAAGTAGCCTACCCCTTCTCCAGATCTAACCGATAATAATGGGTTAGACACCTAGTACCATAGAGATACATTAAATAACTTTCTATAGCTAGGTTTCCATCCAATTGACGACAGATTTTCATGCGAATATTCAAAAATCTGCATATAGAAAATATGTGCATTTTCCCAACAGTGGTGTTTCCACCAAAGTCAGTGCATGATGTGCGGATAAAAATCAGTGTGTGATGACGTAGTGATGATATGATGGTTATTATATCAATATTTGCGCATAAAGGAATTTCCACCTCCATTTCTCGCATTATTAATTTTACCAACACAAAAAGATCCCACCAGGTTGAACGAAAAATTATCTGTCAGCATTTATAAAATTGTACTGAAAATTCCTGTTTCCTTCACAGCTGTCATTATTTATTTTATTTTATACTCGCATAAAAACTGTGGATGGAAACGTGGTTTATGTTCCATTTAATTTTATGGCTAGTGCACACTGTGCAAAACTTTGCTGACCTGTCAGCAGTTCCCTATGGGTTTTTTTCCGGTAGGTAGGTGGGTCCAATGATCCGAGATAAACTGCTAGAGGAAGTTAGTCTAATTTCATGGAAGTAAGAAAGCCATGAGATAGTCGCTTATCTTATATCAGAGAAGTAAGGAAGTAATCTGATAGATGTGATGTGCAAGTCTTTTCCACACTTCAGTCCACGCTTCAGACAGCAGTGTTATAGCTCAGTGGAACCCCAGCTTGAGACAGATATGATACCTGTCGTGTTACTGTTGATTATCTGCGGGACTGCAGGTAGGATTCTGTTATATACTGATACACAATTGCATTGGTGAGACACATATTAAAGGTTCAATATGTAATTTCAATCGCCTGACCCAACCACTTTGTTTGGTAAGCTGAGGGATGGGGAAATGTAACCAGTCTCTCTCCAATTAATTGACGCAACCCTGGATGCAATGACTGACAGTCCATGAGATAATTTCTTAAGGCAGTCTTAAGCAATGCAGATGTTGATAGATCCGTAAGATAAATGGTGTTATTGCCATCAATGGGTTTGAGAGAAAATAAATACTTAGTGCAGATGTGATATGTAATATATTGTGTGTATATGTAATGTACTAGTCTCGTGTTACCACACCTCCAAATCACGTTGTTGTCACGCCACTCATTTGGAAGTCTGAAGATGTTTGTATTAGCCGAAACGGCTAGACTGGAGCGCGGCATTATTTTATGGTACATTTCAAGAACTCTTCCCCCCACATGCCCGTAGATTGGGTGCTGCGTGTTATGACGTGTGTCACTGGGTGTTCGTGTGCCTCACTCCAACGTTTTAGTTAGTAGGTTCTTGTGAGGACGAGAGTGTGGAGAACACATAAAAATGTACATTTGAGAAGCACTGCACACTCCCGTGCTACTGCATTACCTTACAAAACAAGATAACTACATAAAGCAATCACAAGCTTGTACCACAAGCTTACAATCACCAGCTTGTAACATAATTATCAATGTTCGTGGGTAGCTAGCTAGCTACCAATTCTTTGTCAGTTAGCCTGTGGTCTATGCACATTACAATGGATACTCTAGACAGTTAAACATGCCAAAATGGACACAGTATGTATTTATTAACGTATCAAGATAAAATATTATAGTCAGGCAACATACTGTATGAGATTGTGAGTGGGCAGATGTCGGAGTATATTTTCTATCGCTTTGGAACTCCGCCCAAGCAAGGCAGTTGATTGGTTTGACGTGTTGCCAGGCGTCACTGATTTACACCCTGGGGTTCCAACCCTTTTTAGCCACTTTCTACCATTGACTTCACCAGGTTTACCTAATTAGGGAAGCCTGGTTCTCCACGAGGCTAGTTATGTAAAATCAATAAATAAATAAATAAATAAGTAACGTAAATGAAGAGTTTAATTCCAAACACTATATATCCATTTTCAGAAATGTTGGTAAATTAGCTTTTATTTTTTAGAGAACTTATGAAAGAGCTTGGTGTGTTTTTTCACCATCTAATCATGGCATGGGGTTGTTCAATGACTGACATGTATTTGATTGAAATCAATCACTTGATGGTGTCATTTCAGAGAGACAAATATTCATGTTTTGTTGCAAAATGCTATATATCCACCTCACTCTCAGAGGAATAAGTAGTACTCATGGGTTTTACACAGTCAAATGTGATAACTTGATTCTTTTTTAATAAAGAACTGTACAAATAATACATTTGTGACATCAATATAAAACAATCTATTAATAGAGTGATATGGGATTTGTATGTAAAATATTTACATTTGACATGAGTCATTTAGCAGATGCTCTTATCCAGAGCGACTTACAGTTAGTGTATTTACAGTATATTAAGATAGCTAGGTGAGACAACCATATATCCACAGTCAAATATACAGAATACAAATATTCCATTCCAGCTAAACAATGGATATATAGCGTTTTGCAACAAAATCCATTTTAATACACGTCTCAAATCTTTGAATAAAAAATCTGAGAACAGTAATATTTTACACACACACGAAGTTACCTATAAGCAATCATTTGATGACAAAACACAAGTGTGAAAAATTGGTGGATATAATGTTTTGTAACTTAACTCTTCAAATCCATATTATTTTATATCAATGACCTCAAAGGTATTTGCGAGTGTTCATTTCCTATTTGTGATGTGTGCAATGTATGTTGCTGTTACAGTATGTACATTTACACTTCTGCCATATTGCCATGGTATGTTTTCAATAAACTCATAGGCGATAGTCAAATAGATATAAACAAATAAATAAAGATGGGCTTTATACACCCAACCCACTACTACCATCATTAATATTTCTGTGACTTTTCATATCATACCGCCTCATGGCTCTGGATAAGAGCGTCTAAGTGACTAAAATGTCAATGTAATGGTGCTGTGTGAAGGTCAGAGGGGATGGAACTCTACTCACTTCTGGCCTCCAAGTAGAGCTGCAAGGCTTCGGGGTCGACCCTCTCTCGCCCCCCGGCGGTCGCCCCCTCTCGGTGGGGCTGCTCCCAGGGTACCAGGCTGGGCTTGGCCCCATGGTCCAGCAGCAGGCTGACGAATGCCGCCTCACAGCCGTGTCTCAGCACCGCATCCAGCAGGCAGGAGGCCAAACCCTTGGCTAGTGCCTCGCGGCTCACTGGTCCGTTGTAGTTGTAGTCCGGCTGGGCGCCAGCCGCCAGCAGCAGGCTGAAGCAGTGGAGGTGGCGATAGGCGGCGCTGATGTAGAGCGGGCACACCACCAGGGTGGTGAGGGTGCGGGCTGCGCCAAACGGGGGCCTGGCACCCAGCTGGTGGTCCACATCTACGTCGGCATGGAACCTGGAGAGATGGGTCGTGTCGATTAGGCACCATAGGGAATTGTTTTACTGAAACATGGAGGGACAACCTGACTGTCCAATAAGAAACGCTAATTTTCCATTGTGTGCCCTAATGAACACGACCATGGTGATGGGACATGTTAGAAATAGACAACAACACTGATCAATCAGACAATAACACAAAAGTAATGGACAATAACTGCGTAATAAGACAATAAGGTTTTTTCAGAATGTATTGGTTTCCTCCCTTCACCAAGAAAAATGACCCCTGATTCTATTTTTGTTCCTAGGCAATTCAATCAACAAATACTAGCAGATGACCCCTCCTATAGCCATTATTGCCTCCTTCATTCAATCCAATTCAATAAACTAAATTGGCATGGAAAGTTAAAGCACTCACCTGATGAGCTCTTGGAGTATGTCCACCCTGCCTACCCGTGCAGCGTGATAGACGGGAGTGCTGCGGTGGTGGCGGCTGCCGTTGGGGCCAGCTCCAGCTTCTAGGAGGATGGTCACACAGTCCAGGTGTCCGTTGACCACCGCCACGTAGAGGGCTGTCTGACCCTTCACGTCCACTAGGTCCACCTTGGCCCCCTGGCCTATCAGGTAGGCCACACAGGCCCCGTGACCGGCTGTGGCAGCGATGCGCAGAGGGGTGCAGGGCAGCCAACCACAGCACCACACAGACTTCTCGTTTATCCGCCTGACAGCCAATAGATGTTAGCTCAGAACTCATACCAATTTAGTAGACTAGTTTAACTGTCAAGACGCTGTTAAATAAAGGGGCGGTATTGCCGATTGGTGTCTTATCCTAAAAATTGTTTCCAATACACACACACACTTACAAACTAAAGAGAGATACAGAAGGGTGGAAGGGATTTTCGTGCAATAGGCCTACGTCTTGAATATGACTGTGTTGGATATGAAAGGGGTAAGATAGTGGCTTTCTGACTTTGCTAAATACAGTATGTGCATAGGATATTTGCATGCATGTGGGAAGTGGGAAGGGTGCAGAACAGGTTGGAGATGGGGTTATATAATGCAGTAAGGTCCAGTGGCCTCCCTCCCTCACTCACTCTCTGAAGCTGTCCTCCTGCAGCAGGTTCCTCAGAGTATCCAGGTCTCCTACGTAAGCAGCGTTGTGGAGCAGGGCATCCTCACTCTGCTCTTCAGGCTTTTTATTGAACTGCTCCTGCAGCCATTCCTTCAGGTTACGGCCTGGAGGAGAAAGAGCTAAGCTAAAGCTCCAAATACCCAGATCAGATGATGCTGTGCTAACTGACAGGCCTACCATTTCCACTACCACTTGGTTGCATAGTGGCTATAAATAAATCATACACCATCCATGCATGCAAATATTGACTTGAGATGTGTCATTGATGTACACATTACCTAGATGAAATAGTGAAAATATAAATTACGAATAAATGAAGTGATAAAAGTGCTCAAATCGATGTAGTTCACTGACATGTTATAATTTGCGTAATTACGCAGGCATATGCAACGCAAGTTTTAACCAAATATAGCCCAGCCTGTTTACTGAGAATTAATCTAGTTTCTCACACTAATGCTAATGCTGCTGTGTTCTCTTGCACAGCTAGGTGGTAGAACAGTGTAAACATTCAACGTGTTGTGTTTTACCTGCAGCTGTGGGGCTGGGTAGGTCCGAAACCGTGACAAGGGGACAGATGATATTCGGCGCAATGGGTGGGTCGACAACATCACCCGCCTCGAAGCCTCCGCCGTCCGCCATTTCTCCCTAATAATAACTTCTCACGCTTCTTTGCAGGGAGTTTACTACGAAAAAGCACCAGAACTATGAAAGTGAATAACTAGCTAGTATTATCAAAACGACTTTGTCATACCCGTCCGTTGTGCCATTGTTGTTGTTATGGAATACATTTATGACACCGCACTGGTCACTCGCTTTCCCTATATGAGAGCCGAGAGCGCGACTTCCTGCTCTTGGGGTCCAATTTAAAAGGGGCAATCTCCAGTTGCTACATCAAATTTTGGATTGATAAATTAATGATATGTACCCATTTGATACTTGAAGAATATAACTTATAAATTCCTCATGAGCTTAGTTAAACTGTCAAAAGCTTGTTTTACTCCAATGTTTGTAAACAAAGTAAACGTAAATAAACACTATAGCCTCAAAACATGGTTTAAACTATAATTTTATATAATGGGTGGTCAGTCCTTGCATCTATTAGCACTGTCTAATTTCAGAGTAGTTACATTACTCCAACCCCATCCCACATCCTTTTACCGAGATGGCTGCTGATTGCCCCTTTAACTGACTCCATGCATTATAGCTATAGTGAATACAAAAGAACCCCACGGTGGAGGTGTCATAATACCAATACAACCTAGCGGTCAAACAGGAAAATGGTTCCAATAGTTTTTCCACCATTCATTTTTCCCATAGGAGAGTTTAGAAACAGTTAAAATAATAATAATAATAATAATTTTTTTATTTAGCAGACGCTCTTATCCAGAGCGACTTACAGGAGCAATTAGGGTTAAGTGCCTTGCTCAAGGGCACATCGACAGGATTTTCACCTAGTCGGCTCGGGAATTAGAACCAGCGACCCTTTCGGTTACTGGCACAACATCTTTCCCACTAAGCTTACCTGCCGCCCCCACGGGCTGTGTTTTGTGTAGGCTTACCCTGGCATGACATTTGGATATCCATGCAAATCTATATCGGACAAGGTGACTTTTATCAATATATTCAGTTCTATTTACTCTCAGAATCAAAAATGCTAATTAGCATCAAAGTAGACATAATACAAAACTACAGTCGTGGTCAAAAGTTTTGAGAATGACACAAGTATTGGTCTTCACAAAGTTCGCTGCTTCAGTGTTATGAGATATTTTTGTCAGATGTTACTATGGTATACTGAAGTATAATTACAAGCATTCCATAAGTGTCAAAGGCTTTTATTGACAATTACATTAAGTGTATGCAAAGAGTCAATATTTGCAGTGTTAACCCTTCTTTTTCAAGACCTCTGCAATCCGCCCTGGCATACTGTCAATTAACTTCTGGGCTACATCCTGACTGATGGCAGCCCATTCTGGCATAATCAATGCTTGGAGTTTGTCAGAATTTGTGGGGTTTTGTTTGTCCACCCGCCTCTTGAGGATCGACCACAAGTTCTCAATGGGATTAAGGTCTGGGGTGTTTCCTGGCCATGGACCCAACATGTCGATGTTTTGTTCCCTGAGCCACTTAGTTATCACTTTTGCCTTATGGCAAGGTGCTCCATCATGCAGAAAAAGGCATTGGTCGTCACCAAACTGTTCTTGGATGGTTGGGAGAAGTTGCTCTCGAAGGATGTGTTGGTACCATTCTTTATTCATGGCTGTGTTCTTAGGCAAAATTGTGAGTGAGCCCACTCCCTTGGCTGAGAAGCAACCCCACACATGAATGGTCTTAGGATGCTTTACTGTCGGCATGACACAGGACTGATGGTAGCGCGCACCTTGTCTTCTCTGGACAAGGTGCTTTCCGGATGCCCCAAACAATCGGAAAGGGGATTCATCAGAGAAAATGACTTTACCCCAGTCCTCAGCAGTCCAATCCCTGTACCTTTTGCAGAACATCAGTCTGTCCCTGATGTTTTTCCTGGAGAGAAGTGGCTTCTTTGCTGCCCTTCTTGACACCAGGCCATCCTCCAAAAGTCTTCGCCTCACTGTGCGTGCAGATGCACTCACACCTGCCTGCTGCCATTCCTGAGCAAATACTGGTGGTGCCCCAATCCTGCAGCTGAATCAACTTCAGGAGACGGTCCTGGCGCTTGCTGGACTTTCTTGGGCGCCCTGACGCCTTCTTCACAACAGTTGAACCTCTCTCCTTGAAGTTCTTGATGATCCGATAAATGGTTGATTTAGGTGCAATCTTACTAGCAGCAATAACTTTGCCTGTGAAGCCCTTTTTGTGCAAAGCAATGATGACAGCACGTGTTTCCTTGCAGGTAACCATGGTTAACAGAGGAAGAACAATGATTTCAAGCACCACCCTCCTTTTAAAGCTTCCAGTCTGTTATTCTAATACAATCAGCATGACAGAGTGATCTCCAGCCTTGTCCTCATCAACACTCTCACCTGTGTTAACGAGAGAATCACTGACATGATGTCAGCTGGTCCTTTTGTGGCAGGGCTGAAATGCAGTGGAAATGTTTTTCATGGCAAAGAGGGACTTTGCAATTAATTGCAATTCATCTGATCACTCTTCATGACATTCTGGAGTATATGCAAATTGCCATCATCAAAACTGAGGCAGCAGACTTTGTGAAAATTAGTATTTGTGTCATTCTCAAAACTTTTGACCATGACTGTACAAATCCCTGCAAGCTCCTGCACGCCATCTCTAGCTGACACCTTTGCTAACAGTTATTGTCAATTTAAAACTTGCACAAGACAGCTCACAGAATTGTCCATTTAAAAGAAATGTAGCCAATTTATTCATTACTACATTTAGCTAATCCAGAGATTCTTACCTTTGCCTCGATTCGGCAGTCTCGTCCAGATCATCATGGCATTTGTAGTTCTTTATGATAGCCACATTAGCAGCTAATTAGTATTTCATTTTGGGGGGTAAATACAGGCGAATATATTAATAAAAGTGAAATGAATGGTGGAAAAACTATTGGAACAATTTCCGTTTGACCGCTAGGTTTTATGGGTATTATGACTCATACTGTGGTACTCTATTCTGATACAGGTTGCATCCCAATAATATCACCTTTCTCACAAAGTGTGCACTTGTTCACTTCTCTTCACTGATTTTAAAGGAAATGACTGATATAAGAAATAGAGTGGAAACTCCCTCTAGCTAGCCCATGCCTATGTCAATCCAATGCCTTTTGGAAATGTGTGGGAGTGAAGCTTGTGCAGACTTTAGGAGATATTATTGGGCCACTGTGTCACCAATGTAGGTGACCCTAATACAGATTTAACAAGTTATGTTACTTGTCAGCTTGCTGAGATAAGGCTCAAATTTAGGGGACAGAAGGTTGCATTGCCAAATCATTGGTATTTTTTAAATTAAAACACACATTTAATTGAATAGGTCATAGGTTCCACAGTATGCCAATTTCTGATTCAAATATAGCCTAGAGTATAATATTGATCAATACCATTATCATGAATAATATAGTGACCACACGCATGCATAAGATGTCTTCATTTTCATTCATGCTTAGTAGACCAGTGGCATGGCTATTAATAATTTGAAAGGAGTAGGACTTCTCAGCACCTATGGCCTGAGAATAAAGCTTATTTTATGGTTACAAGGAAGCAGACAGACTAGGGTCTAGGACCAACAGTCAGTCTGTGAGTTGAGTGTGAGTGAGTCGGGTGTCTTGACTCGAGGCAGCATTTCAACTCACTGTTTAACTGTGGTAGGTGACTTGATTGTGCCGCTGTTGAAGGTTTCATGTCGGCGGAGGTGGTGTGCAAGAATGGCTTATTGCTGCCTGACGACAGCTGAACCCTGGACGGCGGCCTCTAAAAATAAACAGGGGAGGCCAGGCGGCTCAATGTGTCACTCTGAACAGACTGGACCGTAGGGACCACGAACCCCCAGCTCTGTAAACACCAAGGCTGCTCAACAGTGGAAAAAGGAATCTGTCAAACATGTTGCTCCATTTAAAAAGTCCATGCTTTATATCATGGCTATGTTTGTGTCTAGCTACTCTTTTTAAGCCATTTAGCATCATGGATTTTAGTATGGTTGTGTCACATGAAGCAATATCTAAAATGCAAAACAGTCAGATTTTGAAGTGGTAAATTGTTGGGTATAACTGAAGGGTGGTGGGTATGTTAGGGGCCCACTCACTGAATTAAGCCGCTCATTAGCAAAGCAAACCGTTCTGAAGCTCAGTGTCCAAACACTTGAGTTGGATGAACTCAGTCCTTTTTAAAGGTTAAGAGACAGCCATTATGTAAACCCTACACGTGGCACAAGTCACTTCAGGCTAGTCTTCCAGGAGAGTTGACCCTCTTTTTTGAGTCCTACAACAGGAGGGCAAACGCAGAGGGACAATGGGAGTAGTGACTGCATGTGCAATACTACAGCCTGCACTAATCCAGCTATTCAACTTCAGACCAAGGCCAGAGTCTTTGCTTTAAGCAGGTGTCCACTTACCTTTATAAAGGGGCCTCAAAATCCTAACTTCTATCCGAAAAGACCAGACCAAAACCTCACTTAGAGGTTTAGGGGTTCTTCATTATTTTGTGTGCATCGCAGCTGTTTTATGGCTTGCCAAATTTATGGCTTGCCTAATGTTATAATACAGAGCTTTTTAAAGAAAATGTAAATGTTTTTAGTTATGTCACGTTAGGCCAGCCTTCAAAGGAGAGGGTCTCCATGTGAGTGTGACGCGGTCGTGCAAGACGCCACGAGGACTTTGGGTGAACCGGTCAGAAACACAAACTCGGGTCATTTGTCATTCTGCTCAGTATGCAGCGCTATCCAGAGCAGTTATTAAGATGCCATTGTAATGTTTACCTCACGTTAGCAAAGAGTCTAAAGTATTCCCCAAACCAAACTCAATCCCAGACCCTCCTTGCTTACTTCTTAAAAAATACTATCAAAAGGACAAAGTTATTTTATTGAAATGTAACCATTTAGTTAGTATACCCTGATGCTGTTATTACAGAGTTATTACACATGTTTAAGAGCAACTTATTTTAAAGTGTTAATTCTTTTGCAGTCTAATGTTAACATGTACATTTGATGTGCTAGCAAATACGCTTGGGCAATATACCGTATACTGGGGTATTTGGAAATAGCCATGGGATGGTTTTTCAATACCGTCAATACTGTTTAAACTATTTATTGGAAGTTTTTCAATACATTTTTTATATTTGTAGCTACTTTTTAAGTAAATACCTGCAGTCAATGTTAGGAGTTAAAGCAGATCATGTTCTTCATTTCATCTGTCACATTATTTTACATTATGAAGCTTACCGTACTTCCCCAGAATAGTTGAGCCAGTCAAGTGTTTGTTTGTAAATAGCACAATGGGAGA